ATGGAGAGAGAAAGAGAGAGGAAGAGAGAGAAAGAGAAAGAGAGAGAGAGTGTGTGTGTGTATGTATGTGTGTGTGTGTGTGTGTGTGTTGAGTGTGTGTGTGTGTGTTCGACTGTTTGGAGAACGTACAGCAATATTGGCATAGATTATGGCGAGACAAAACACACGGTTCGTAAAATTTTGGGTTGTTTTTTTTTAAATTGATAACAATAAATATCTTAAAAGAAGAAATGAAAACGAGAAGGGGAAGGGAGAGACGTGTCTAAGTTCATTTCATACTGCAGTCTGAAAGCCATCATCGCACTTAATAAAATTAACCACAATTTGAAAATAATAATAGATGAGCCGAATATTAAGCAATTCGCTGCCACACAGTATCACAGTTGGTGGTTGGTGGGTGCTCTGGTGTGGTATGCTCCTTCTTTCCTATCAAACATCTATCATCCTTATCTCTCTTCCTTCTTTTTTTGCGTTAGTTACACTCTTGTAACACCTCTAATCTTCGGCACTTATATGACATTATTGTGTTGCAAGTGCCATAAAAATCTTACTAAAACAAACAGTATCAAACCGTAGCTTATGGACTTTTGCAGCCAATTGGATAAGGGACATAACTCGACAATTCATAAACCCAAAGAGGTTATAACCTCTTTGCACGAACCTGACAGAAACCCCTTCGCCCGAATCATGAAACATAGACTATGATACCCAAGCAACAAAAATAAGTGCATAGTCAGGTAATACAGTATTATGGAGATCTATGCACCTAGCCTTACTTTGTCACACCCTCCCTTTTTGTCTCGCCATGCAAAACGTGTCTGTCTTCGTCTCCATTTTTCCCCAAAACAGGTCAGTCCAAAGGACACTTTTGAAGTTCCCCGGAGACACGTATAACTATACTTAGCATTACGTTAGATTTTTATTCATGAGCATTGTCATATTTTAGGGAGCTGTAACGTTACAAGGTTAAGCTGTGGTCAGCCCAGCGGTTTCCTTTTGACCGTTTGTGCAACTACCATTGGCTGACAGGAACGGTCATTACTTATTCAAGGGAAGACAACTTTGACATCTTCGCTTAATTCTAACGTCTCACTTTTCAAAGTTGTGAGATCCATTTGTCAATGTGAAGGACCGGCCAAGACATACGTCGTCACTGGGGGAGTCTTAATGTATGTAAGAAATAGCCGCTTGACCATTTAGCGAGGAAAACACAGGGGCGTCGACCATCCCCCTTTCACGTGGAACTCTCTTATTTAGATGGACATAAATAGAGAATGTCCGCTCGTAAATTCCGCGTACTTTCGCTGACTGTCAAAACATGTTCAGCTGTTTTATGAACAGGAACAGGAAGTACAGAGCACTGAAGTGACTTAATCTGGAAACAGCCCATCAGTCACCTCAGATTGTTGTCTTTAAAACCGTGTACCTTTTTAATTATTCTATTTTTTCCCTCAACGAGAAGAGAAAACAAAACAGTTGATCATAATTGATATTATAAGTAGGCCTATTATAACACACCTGTTAATACGGGCAAAGGCCTTACTGCCTGAGGGCTCTGGAAACAATATATCCAATATTGAAAAGTAAACGTTTAACTTTTTACTTTTTTTTAATATTCACGACTTGCTTTCAGGGTGGGGGGGAAGGCTG